TGGTTTCTGTGAAGATAAACAAAAGAAGAAACCAGATTTCAGTAAGTTGATCTGAAAGCTCAGCAAACAGATGTCGAATAATCTTTGTCCGGTTTGAAGATTCTAAATCTTTCTCAAGTAGTCAGCCTTGATCCACACCAAACTGCGAAACCAGATAACTTGAATTTTGCGTGCAATCTCTGTTACACTGGGATTGTTCAACGCATAACAGCAAAGCAGTATCAATTAACAAGGGTTGAACTTAACAACAAATTTGGTTACTTAATCCGAGGAAACACCTGCTCTTGTCTCAAATTGTCTTCATTTATCCACGGGCTAAATGTGCCGGAATGTTTGCCGAAAAAATGAATATTTAAATAGAGATTTTCAGACAGTTTAAATTTGCCGTGTAACATGAAAGTATACAAAATGTGATTTTTTGAATTCTCCTAGTAGTTGACTCCACATGACTTCGGATTTATATTACTTGAGATAATCCGGATAAGATTATACGCAAGAACCTTTTTTGCGCTGGTATTTTCCTTTGGAATTCCGAATCGTTTGCCGGTATCCTTGGATGTGTCAGAAATCTTCAGGAAGTTTGTAATAGAGGGAAAAAATGACCATCACGGAAGTGGTTTATTAAATCTTTGATTATGCTCTAAACGCAAAATGTGATTCAGAGGTACCCTTTGGTTGCCTTTGCTAATTGAATCGAGTTGTACAGAAGTAACCGTACAAAAGTGTTATATACAAATCAATAAATATTTGAATTGCATCAAATCATGAAATCATAAATATAATTAGTAAATACAGTTATATTTATCTACTGGACACTTCATGATTTGAGTGAACAGCAAATGCACACTGTGGTTTGCATATACTTCTTTATTATATTGCACAAAGCTTACATATAAGGTCATTGAAATACATCATCATCATCATCCGAATCATCATCATCATCATCTTTTGTTATTCTGTATACTGAGGACAACGAACCATCACCCTAGTTCTTTTCCTATTCTTCTTCGGTTACCCCCAATGACAGTGATTATGTTTTCGTTCCCTCCTTAATTGAACTCCGTGCCTATCTAAAATAAATGTTTCTATAAAAGTAGGCCAAAGAACCATTACCCCTCATCGGCACAATCTTCTTTAATTTTGCGCACATTCAAAAGTTCATACATGAACATTCATTAAGTGAACTATATAATTTTTTAAGTAAATTCCGGGAAAGTACAATGTGACAAATATGCCAAAGAACAAAATAAGGACTTAGACGTCTAGTCAGGTGGGATGACAACATTAAATATGACCATTTTTCGAACAGTACCAACCAAATGAATTATATATATATATATATATATATTTGAATCTCAAGGAGTTCTTGAGACATGACAGCAAATGGCCATGAAGTTGCTTGAGTCACTTCGGGTTTATAGAAGCGTAGAACGAAGTGACACAGAAATATGGGATACGCAAATTCGACGGTCATGTGAT